CCACGACGGCTCCAAGAGGCCAAAGAGCCCCCCAGCGATGCAAGAGGTCAAAATCACGTAAAACCTGAGGCTGCTCGATTACTTTTGGCTTCTCGCCGGCTCGCTTACGACCTGCTCGGGAAGCCTCAAGATGGTCCCAAGATCGCGCAAGCGGAGCCCAAAGGAGGGACCCACGAGGGCTCCAAAAGACGGTCCCACGAAGATCCCCAAGAGGCGAGTTGTCGTGCTCCGCCGGGGGCTATTCCCGGATCGGCCGCTGAGAGCCCCGAAGGCGCGAAGGCCTCCACGAGAGCCCCCAAGAGGCCTCCAGAGACGCCCAAGAAAACCTCACAATTGCCTCAAGAAGCAAAGACCAAAACGCTTGACTCTCAGATTCTTCGCGCCGCTTTGCTGACACGAAGAACTCAGGAGTCAACCGCGAGGGGAGGCACCGCCGGAAAATTCTGAGGAAGGGCCTCCTGAAGGAATCCTCAGGCTGCTTCGATCTACCCGGGCTTTCTTTGGGGCCTCCTGGGGCCTCCCCGAGCCATGAGAGATAAGGGCTTCTGGCCTGCCTTCCAGCAGGCCGAAGACGCGCAGTTCCTGCACCTCCCCTTTCCCTCGTCCACATCATCATTCCTCCTCCTCCTCCTCCTTCTCCTCCTCCTCGGCCTTCTCCGCCTCCTCCTCCTCCTCCTCCTCCTCCTCCTCCTCCTCCTCCTGATTCCTGAGTCCTGACGCCCGGGAAATCGTTCAGACGTGGCCTCCCCCTCCTCATTCTCATCCTGCTCCTTTTGCTCCTCCTCCTCCTCCTCCTCCTCCGCCTCCTCCTCCTCCTGCTCCTCCCCATATCGAGTTGTGCTCGTCGGCAAGCCCGAGGGCACCCGCCGACGAACAACGAAGCGATAGGGAGCGCACGGGTGGCAGGGCGGCCGCCCTCCCCCATTCCTGCCAGGCTGCTCTTTGACATTGAGCGGATTTTCACCCCTTGGGAGTGTGGCGTCAGTTGGGACGCACAAGGACATGCCAGTACGATGTGCCCTCCTTGGAGGCGTGCCTCCGACCCGAGCATCTAGTACAACGATCCTGGAGTGCATCGCTTCCCGAGCGGTATGGCCAGAAAACGCACGCCACGGAGCTTATACTATAAGATTTCTCAGTGCGCGCATCGCCCCAGGGGGGGGGCGACCCACACATAGTATTCGTATGTTGGGGTGATGCCGATCATTGCAAGAAAAACTCGCCTGGTTAACTTCTCGTATTCCCCAAACAACAGGGCAGGGCAAAAAGGCAGGCCCGACTTAGCAGCAATAAGAAAGCAGAGAGGCGAAAGGGTGAGAACAGGAAAAGGGGAGTAGAGCATCCAGAGTACGACTGGCTGCTCCTACACCCTTCCCGACCAAGGCACCTCGCCTAGGAATCGTCGCTGGATGGGCTGGTGCTGCTTCGAGTAGGGGGATCGACTACATCATCGATTTACGCCAGAATTGAAGTTCTTTGCGAAAATACGTAGAATGTGCGCAGATCTACAAACATTCTACGCATTTCTCGTGGACTCTACGCAAACTACCATACTAGGACAAATCATTTCTGTAGTCGACCCCCTACTCGAATGATACGGTCGGGCACTTGTGCATAGCGTGTCGCCGCGGGGCCCTGGTGACACCCAGAACCGGCGGCGCAACATGGTATCGAAAAGTTCCCGATTGCACGGTGAGGGCGTTGGAGAAGGAGTCCAGGGTCTGAAAGCAGGTGGAACGCTAATTGAGGCTTGGCCATGGGTGTCACCTCCGCCCTCATCAGATAAGGAATCCCCCCCCCGGGGGTCTGAAACCGCCTGGGCCCACTCCTTAACGAAGACCCCCACCGTACTCGGAGCAGGGCGGGTTGAGAGAACAGCAGCTCAAGATCGGTCCCCAGACCCCTCCTGGGGCCCAGACGCACCAGTCTTCCGAGCCGCGTCCAGCCGTGGCGTCAAGGGGTCCCCCGAATGTCAAACATCGTTGTCTCAACTCGCCCTCCTCTGAGATACGCAACTCGTCAAGAACATGGTTGAAGTCTGGCGCGCGAGCTGGAACTCGGGGCAAGGGCGGCTCCTGGCCTTGGTCGAGCGGTCGTGGGCGCTGGAAGGCTGCAGGGAGATGTCTGCGGCAACTCCTTAAAGCCTCCCGTGTCCTCTTGCTGGCTCCTGCGAGTCGACGCCGCCAACCGACGCTAATCGACGCTAATCGACCTAAATCGACGCTACATCGGCGCTAAATCGGCGTTTTCCCATCGATTACCAGACGCTGGCGCACGCTATGGCACTCTGAAGACGGTAAATCGAGGACATACAGGGCTCCCATGAGCTGCTAGCCGCCGAAGGAGAAAGAGGGCCAGGCAGGCCAAGTGGTCGGCAGGGGGGAGTGGCTCCGCCGATCCTTCTGGACGCCCGAAATCAGTATGGAACACGTGGGTACGATGCCCAACAACTCAGGCTGCTCAAAACCGGCAGCGGCCGCTGTTGGGCAGGCGGCCTCCTGTCTCAAATGGACAACGCCCACGGCGGCACCGACAACGAGCCCTGCCAAATAAAATGAACAAGAATTGCTGCTGGTCTTCGTCACCGTTCTTTCCGTACAGACGGTCCTGCTAAGTCGTCCCGGACCTTCCCCGTGGAACCCCTCACAAGGGCTGCGCCGACCCCGCTCAGTCGTCCCAGCTCTCCCCAGCGGGCTTTCCCGCTGCCGGCACAAGGAAATCGAAACTCCAGAAAATCCCACGTGTCACGAGTCCGTGAAAGTACAATGCGTGTCACGGATGTCTGCAACTGTTTCCCTACAAGTCTCTCCCTCTGGTGCTCCTAGATCACACAGAACCCTGACCAGCCGGTGCCAGCACGGCGGGGCATCCGCCAAGAAAACGGATGCCGAGCTGGGAGACGGCGGCCCCCCCCGGTGGCCCCTGCAAGACGGCCGAGGACGGCAGAGGACGGCCCGAGAAGGCCCAAGAGGTAGGCAAGGCGAGGCGAGCGCCGATATCCGCCGCCCCGCTCTCGCGCGTGGCCGCGCGCCTTGAAGGCAACGGCGGGTCCGTAGCCCCTGAGATGACAGAGAACAGGTTTGGAGCCAGCTCAATAAGGATATTGCGTCGTAGGTTGCGGCGTCAGGATTGCCCCAACAGGACTCGAAGAGGGCCTGATGATAACCCGAAGACGGCCTAGCCAGGCCAAAGACGGCGCAACACGCTCAAAGACGTTCGAAGCAACTCCCAAGATGGCCTTAGAGGGCCCCGAGAGGATCCCCAAGAGGCCTCCGAGAAGTCGGAACCACTGATGGTCCTTAGGTTTCGTATGAATTTGGTGTACTCGCCTGTTCGGTTTTCAGATTGTCCATGACGGCCCAGAGCACATCCAGTACCCACTGGTCGGGAGAAGTAGGTGGAAACATGAAGTAGGAAGGCGTTGGAAATTGATTGGGTTTCCGCCCGCCTCCTGCAGAGGAAGGAAGAGGGAAAACCACTCGACTCTTGAAGAAGGAAGGCGCTAAAAGTAGATTGGAATCTGGGAATCCAAAAAGACCTACTTCCAACGACCGATGGGTATCGCTCCAAGACGGCCCAAAGGGCCCCCAAGGGAGCCACAAAGGGGCGTCAGTCCCAGTCCCTACAGGGCCTCAGGACAGAGCCCCCAAGAGGCTGCGGGTGGGACCGAGACGAGGGCCCAAAGCGAGCCCCAAGACAACTCCAGACAACCCCCAAGACACGCCAAAAACGGCGTCCAGGCCCCCGGGAAAAAAAACGCTAAGATGACCCCGAGAGGCCCCAAACGAGCCCCCAGGGCGCCAAGATAGACCCAAGTCAAGCCCCAGCACTGTGCTAAGAGGAGCCCCAAGACAGCCCGTCGATAGTCCTAAATGCTCTGGCAGACGCATGTCAAAGCCATCAATGTGGTCCCCGGAAAAGAGCGCACTAGAAACATGTCCAAGTCACCGCTTCTCGTCCTCACTCCTCACTGAACATCCCCCTGGGGGTCCGTCCCCTCCACCTCCACCTCCACCTCCTCCTCCTCCTCCTCCTCCTCCTCCTCCTCCTCCTCCTCCTCCTCCTCCTCCTCCTCCTCCTCCTCTCCTCCCTCCTCTCCTCCCTCCTGCTCATGCTCCTCCTCTCCTCCTCCTCCTCATCCTCCTCCTCCTCCTCCTCCTTCTCCTCCTCCTCCTCGTCCTCCTCCTCCTCCTCCTCCTCCTCCTCCTCCTCCTCCTCTTCTTCCTCCTCCTCCTCATCATCATCATCATCATCATCATCATCATCATCCTTCATCATCTCATCATCATCATCATCATCATCATCATCTCATCAACAACAACATCATCATCATCATCAGCAGCATCAGCATCAGCATCATCAGCATCATCATCATCAGCATCATCAGCATCATCATCATCATCAGCATCATCATCGTCACCATCAGCATCATCATCATCACCATCATCATCACCATCATCATCACCATCGTCATCACCATCATCATCAGCATCATCAGCATCAGCATCATCATCGTCACCATCATCATCAGCATCATCATCATCACCATCAGCATCTTCATCGTCGTCATCATCATCGTCATCATCATCATCATCATCATCGTTACCATCATCATCATCATCACCATCACCATCATCATCACCATCATCATCACCATCATCATCATCATCATCATCATCATCATCATGCTCATCATCATCATCATCATCATCATCACCATCATCATCATCAGCATCATCATCGTCGTCATCATCATCATCGTCGTCATCATCATCGTCATCAGCATCATCAGCATCATCATCATCAGCATCATCATCGTCATCATGAACCCAAGAATGTTGTCATCTCTTAGAGGCGCATGTTTTGCTTCCGCCAACTTCCGCCGCCCTTCCGCCGGCTTCCGCCTCCAACCTCGTTTTACTTCCGCCGACCTTCCGCCGCCTTCTGACAAGGAAGAGACGACAACTCCTTTGACCCTCAAAGGCAAGGCCCTTTTTGGAACTGCCCCATGCCATTCCGCACCACTTGAGTCACACTGCTTGGCTCAGGGCGCTCCGTTGTGCCCGCGTCCTTGCCCCTCGCCCTCGAGAAGTCCGGCGGGCGGCAGCGCTCGGCCAAGAGAGCAGGGTCCATCGACACCGCCTGCCCCGTGCTGGGGAAGAGATACTTTAAGAGGAGCCCAGGGACACACACACACACACACACACACAAAAAAAAAAAAAAAACGCACAATTCACAGGATTCAGTTTTTTCCCCCCACTTCCCATAGCTTCCCAGTTCCTGGAAGTCGACGATTCATTTGTGTCTGTGTGTTTTCCCCTCCTGGTAGTTTCCCAGGAAGGAGAAACGAGAGGGACAGAGCGCAACCACCTGGCAGCCGACCCGTGCCGAGGAAGAGATCTCGCCCTTCGCATTTTAGGCAGTGCTCCGAGCGAGGCGCCCCGGCTTCATGTTCTCCGCGGTGTTGTCCCTCCTCTGTCTTCTCCGCCTCCGCTATCCCTCAGATTTCAGTCCGTTGCTCGGCACCCCGCTGACGGGAGGGGCCGCCGGTACCTTGGAGTGCTTCGTCGTAGTCCGAGACGTCGTCTCTGTTCCACAGCCACAGATTTGCGACCCACTTCACGCGACCGCCCTCCGGAGGACAACCCGCGTGCATGGCTCTGCGATCGAGCGTTCCGTTTGCTAACATGTGGTAGAAAAGCACCGCCGAACCCAACCGCGCTGGGACCGACAGTCCGTGCCGACCGCACTCTGTCCAATCAATATCGCCTACGGTGAGATTGTTTTCCTGCCCTCCAGCGAGTGGAAAATCTGTAGTAGCCCCAGGGTCCTCCGTAAGATACCAAAGCAACGTTGCCACTCGATTCGCGGCGCCCTTCCTTGTTCGTTTCATCATCTCACGTTGCGCCGGGCTGCCACGAGGGTACTCCCAGTACTCGAAGTAGTCGAAGTGCTGATGGTAGAACTCGCCCGGCCGGTACCGCACAACCTGGAGCCTCTCGAACTGGTTGACGCTGGCCGAGAGTATCTCTGCCCCCAGTGTGAACACCCGTCGCGCCGCCGCCCCGTCCTCGGGGCTCAGCCACGCCACCATGCTGGTGCGGCTCGCGTGGCTGGTCTTGCCGCGGCCGCCCCGTGGAGCCTCCACCACGGAAGTCTCCAGGCGGCCCTCCGCGACGGCGATGAGCTCGGCGGCCTCCGCCGCCGACAGCAGCGCCCCAGCCGACTGGAAGAGGGCCGGAGACGTGGCCAGCGTGCGGAACTGGACGCCACCGGCGCCGAAGGCCACTGTTCTGCCCACGTCCCCCGGCTCTGGCACAAATGCGCCCGCCTCGAGCACGAGCAGCGATGCTGGGAGCCGCGGCGGACCCGCGAGAGGGGACCCATCAGCGGCGAACCAGGCCCATGGAGAGCGATTCCGGTCCTTAGGGGAAGAGACACGGGATAAGCATGAGCTTTCGGAGCTTCGCGCGGATTTCGTGGATCTGCGCTAGCGCTGGAAGCGCCGCGAGGGGGGGGGGGCATATAGCGCAAATGCCAGAAATCTGCACGGAGCTCCGAAACTTCATGTCTCTGAAGCGGTGGATCAGGCCCATGGAGAGCGGTTCCCAGGCAAGCGGCATCTTGATCTGTCAATACTGGGTCCCCAGCATTTCCGACCCTTCCCGCAGGGCCAATTTTGCATCCCGAATCGTGGGGCCTGGCGAGGGCCTCCATGAGCCGTAAACGGTCAAAAACTTCCCATCTCGATTTTCTCATGGCGCGGGCTGTTTGGGTTCTGGTCCTGGCAGTAGCTGCTGGGCAGCGCCGCCTTCTTCCGAGACGTCTGCACCACGTACCCCTTGGAGCAGAGGCCGCAACTGCGCGGGCAATAGCCGCTGTAGCGCCCGGCACAGCCCCCGCCTGCGCCGCCGGCCACGTGGGCGCAGCTGAGCACGCTCTGGCTCTGCGGAGCGGGCTCGTCGTCGTTATGGTCGTCATCGTTTTCGTCGTCGACCCCCTGTGTTGCGGTCGATCATTCGTCGATCGTTCGTCGTCGTCGTCGTCGTCGTCGTCGTCGCCGTCTTCGTCGTCGCCGTCGTCGTCGCCGTCAGCGCCGTCGTCGTCGTCGTCGTCGTCATCGTCGGCGCCGTCGTCGTCGTCGTCGTCGTCGTCGTCGCCGTCGCCGTCGCCGTTGCCGTCGCCGTCGCCGCCGCCGCCGCAACTGTCGCCGTCGCCGTCGCCGTCGCAGTCGTCGTCGTCGCCGCCGCCGCCGTCGCAGTCACCGTCGCCGTCGCCGTCGCAGTGGTCGTCGCCGTCGCCGTCGCCGTCGCGGTGTTCGTCGCCGCCGCCACCGCTGCCGTCGCCATCGCCGTAGCCGTCGCATTCGTGGCCGCCGTCGCCATCGCCATCGCCGTCGCCGTCGCCGTCGCAATCGCCGTCGCCGACGCCGTCGCCGTCGCAGGCGCCGTCGCCGCCGCCGCCGCAACCGTCGCTGTCGCTTTCGCCGTCGCCGCTGCCGCCGTCACCGTCGCCGTCGCGGTCGCCGACGTCGTCGGCGTCGCCGTCGCCGTCGCCGTCGCCGTCGTCGCCGCCGCCGCCGTCGCCGTCGCCCTCACCGTCGCCGTTGGCGTCGTAGGCGCTGTCGTCGTCGTCGTCGTCGTCGCAGTCGTCGTCGACGACGTCGTCGTCGTCGTTGTCGTCGCAATCGTCGTCGCCGTCGCCGTCGCAATCGCCGTCGCCGCCGCCGTCGCCGTCGCCGTCGTCGTCGCTGTTAACGTGGCCGGCGTTGCCGCCGCCGTCGCCGTCGCCGTGCCCGTCTCCGTCGCCGTGGCCGTCGCCGCTGCCGCCGCCGTGGCCATGGCCGTCGTAATCGTCGTTTTTCGACGTCGTCGTCGCCGTCGCAGTCGCTGTCGCCGACGCAGTCGCCGCCGCCGCCGCCGTTGAGATCGCCGTCGCCATCGCAATCGCCGCCGTCGCCGCCGTCGCCGCCGCCGCCGTCGCAGTCGGCGCCGCCGTCGCCACCGTCGTCGCCGCCGGCTCGCCGTCGCAGTCGTCGTCGCCGTGGCCATCGCCGCCGCCGCCGCCGCCGTGGCAGACACAGTCGTCGTCACCGCCGCCGCCGCCGTCGCAGTCACAAACGCCGTTGCCGCCGCCGTTGCCGTCGTCGCCGCCGTCGCCGCCTCCGTTGCCGTCGCCGCCGCGTCGCCGTCGCCAACGCCGCCGCCGTCGACGTCACTACCGTCCCAACTGCCGTCGCCGCCGCCGTTGCCGTCCCCGTCGCCGTCGTCGCCGCCGCCGTCGCAGTCGCAGTCGCCGTCGTCGTCGTCGCCACCGTCGTCGTCGTCGCCGCCGTCGCCGTCGTCGAAGCTGTCGCCGTCGCTGTCGCCGTCGCCGCCGCCGTCGCAGTCGCAGGCGCCGTCGCCATAGCCGTCGCCGTGGCCGTCGCCGCCGCAGTCGCAGGCGCAATCGTCGTCGCCATCGCCGCCGCCGTCGCCGTCTCCGTCACGGTCGAAATCGTCGTCGCCGTCGCCATCCGCCACAGTCGCATTCGCCGTCGCCGCCGCCGAAGCCGTCGCAGTCGCCGATGCCGTCGTCGCCGCCGTCGCCGTCGCCGTCGCCGTCGCCGTCGCCGTCGCCGCGGACGTCAGTCTTCGCCGCCGCCGTCGCCGTCGCAGTCGCAGTCGCCGTGGCCGCCGCCGTCGCCGTCGCCGCCGCAGTCGCCGTCGCACTCGTCGCCGCCGCCGCCGCCGCCGTCGCCGCCGCCGTCGCCGCCGCCGCCGCCGCCGTCGCCGCCGCCGTCGCCGCCGCCGCCGTCGCCGTCGCCGTCGCCGCCGCCGCCGTCGCCGTCGTCGGAGGAACAGGCGGCGCCTGCGGAGTGTCCTGGAGCGCAGGCCCCGCGCTGCTGCTGTGCTCGCGCCCGCGCGCGGCCCCGGCAGGGCCCACCGAGGCCGCCAGCTCCAGGAGCTCCGGCTCGTCCTCGCACCTGGGGGGCAAAAAGGCACCCTAAGAGGGGGAAGTGACAAACGCGAAAACGGGCCACGGCACCCCCCTCCAGTCCCCTGGGCACCACCTCCCGAATCCGACGCCCCCCCCTGCACTCCCCCCTCTGAATACCCTTGAGGCGATTGATCCCACCCACCCACCCTGCATGCCAACACCTCCCGGCACACAGGGAGAAACGCCAAACACCATCCCGCCACCCCCGCGGACACGCCCCAGCCAACCCCCCCGACATACCAAGGGCGGGCGAATTATTAGAAGAGTCAGAATACCGATGCCGTTGCCCAGCCATGCTCGCGCCGCTCAAAAATCATGACGGAAGGTTTTTGGCCGTTTTCAGGTTCTCGGAGCCCTCGCTGGGTCGCGAGACCCCGCCGAAACACAACTAGCGATGACAAACGGGCCCTGGGGACAGGGACGGGACTTCTGTGGGCCTGGGACCGCCACTCCCCGGACCTCGCCCGGGGCGCGTTCTGGCCGACTCCTCCTCGTCCTCCTGCTCCTTCTCCTCCTCCTCCTCCTCCTCCTCCTCCTCCTCCTCCTCCTCCTCCTCCTCCTCCTCCTCATCCTCGTCCTGGGTCCTCCTCCTCGTCCTCCTCCTCCTCCTCCTCCTCCTCCTCCTCCTCCTCCTCCTCCTCCTCCTCCTCCTCGCTCCTCCTCCTCCTCCTCCTCCTCCTCCTCCTCCTCCTCTCCTCCTCCTCCTCCTCCTCCTCCTCTTCTTCCTCCTCCTCCTCCTCCTCCTCCTCCTCCTCCTCCTCCTCCTCCTCCTGACTTCTCCTCCTCCTACTTGTCCTTCTCCTTCTCTCCGTCTCCTCCGTCTCCTCCTCCTCATCTCCCTCCTCTTCCTCTTCCGCCCCCTCCTCCTCATCTTCCTCCTCCTCCTCCTCCTTTTCCTCCTCCTCTTCCTCCTCCTCCCTCCTCCTCCTCCTCCTCCTCCTCCTCCTCCTCTCCTTTTCCTCTTCCTTTTCCTCATCCTTTTTCCTCCTCCTCCTTTCCTCCTCCTCCTCCTCCTCCTCCTCCTCCTCCTCCTCTTCCTCCTCGTCCTCGTCCTCCTCCTCGTCCAACTCCTCCCTCCTCCTCCTCCTCCTCCTCCTCCTCCTCCTCCTCCTCCTCCTCCTCCTCCTCCTGCTCCTCCTCCTCCTCCTCTCCTGCTCCTCCACCTCCTCCTCCTCCCCCTCCTCCTCCTCCTCCTCCTCCTCCTCCTCCTCCTCCTCCTCCCCCCCTCCCCTCCTCCTCCTCCACCTCCTCCCCCTCCTCCTCCTTTCCTCCTCCTCCTCCTCCTCCTCCTCCTCCTCCTCCTCTCCTCCTCCTCCTCCTCCTCCTCCTCCTCCTCCTCCTCCCTCCCCCCTCCTCCTCCTCCTCCTCCTCCTCCTCCTCCTCCTCCTCCTCCTCCTCCTCCTCCTCCTCTGCGAAGATCTGATTGGAATGAAAAAGATGTTTTTTTCCTGCTGCTCGTGCCGAGCTTGACCCAAGGCCTACGGATCGAGTCTGCTGCATGCTGAAACCACAACTGCGTGCTACAAGCAACAACTGCGGCTGCTTTTCACACAACCCCTTCTATCTCGATACGTAGGGCCATTTGCTTTATAACCCGGGCTATCGTCAATATGGAATCTAAATCATGCATCTGGGCGTCCTGCGGCCAGGCTGGCCTGCGCGGTTCAGGCACGCGTCCCGTTCAGGGAAAAACCTTACTAGGGCAGCATTCACATCAGGACGCCTCTCACTCACCCGGGGTCACCCCCGCCACGATTCTCGGCCTTGGTCTCATACTTGCACCGGTAGACGTATTCTCCCGTCTTGAGGACATGCTCCAAATAGCTCTGATCCTTCATGTGCTTGGTCAGGGGGTCGGCAAGCATCAGGCGGGTGTCTGTCCATATCAAGCCGTCTCCGACTTCCAAACGATCTCGAAGATCAGCGAGGTCCAACGCGATCCTCCTCTCCGTCGGCATGCTCCCTTCCTTACGGCAGAGGTCGACGAAGCTCTTGCAGTCCGTCACGCACAGGCTGGGGATCTTGCCCATCAATGTCGCCCAGTCACTCTCTGATTCCCAGCCGTACAATATCTCTGCCAACGCGGTCCTCACGAAGCACGCCCTGTCAAACCCGTAGCTCGCACTGGCCGCCTCCGCTGCCAATGTAGATCTTACCACACGATGAATCTTGCTCGAGCACCAGTCCACCACGTTGACTTTCTTGGCTTCGAACTTCTCATCGGTTAGCAGGAGGATGAATCCTTGTTGCGATCCACTCCTCGGCTGTCTGTCGTACGAGGCATCGTGTACACACATACATCCAAATCGTCCCGATCCATCTCCGCGATGAAATCGTAGCTTGACGTCACGCGTCACCATCTCCTTGGCCATGCCCAACACCGTGTTCGCCTTGCACAGCTGGCCGACCGTCAAGTCTGGCGTCCGCTGTTGCAGGTCACTGACGTCATAGGCTAAACCAGGTAGTGTCGTCCGCGCGGGCCACGATAATTGTTGTCCCAGGCTGCGGTACTTCGAGAGCTCTTCTTCGGTCGCCTTGCTCTCGGGGTCCTTCTGGATGCCGGCACGAAGATCTTCTCCATCTTCTCGATGTACTCGTGCTGGTCGACCTCTACGGACTTATCCGGCAGCTGATTGATGCGCCGGCCGAGGAACTCGAACTGACCCTGCTTCTCCTTGGTCACGTTGAGCTTCTCGCGTACGATCTCCTTCGCTCTGGCGAACCGCTCGCCTGTACCGCCCCAGAGTCCGTCGTCCACGTGGACACATAGGACCGCCTCGATCTTGCCTTTGTCGTTCCTAATGACAAAAACTCCTTTCATGGTCTTGAGCGGCTGGAATCCAGCCTGGATCAACACCTCCGAGAATCTTTCCCACCATAAGCGAGGTGACTCTCGTAGTCCGAATACACCCTTGAGCAGTTCCACCAAGCTCCCAGCAGGAACTCCAGGTAGCCCTTCTCGGGGAGGCATCACATATAACCGTCTCGTGTTTGTCTTGCCGGTGAGGAACGCCGAGCCGATGTCGAACGTCCCGAGATCCCAGCCAAAATGCGCAGCCAAGTTCAGCAGTAGCATCAGCCCTACCATGGGCGCCACTGGTGCATCTGTCCGTGTACCTGCCGTTTCTGACGAAATCGCCATGCGCTTCGCATGCTTGATGCCGAGCTTGCCCTGGTTGTCCGGGTCGAGATGTCCCGGGATCACAAGTCGGCTGTTCGGCTGGCCCTCCTTGAGGGTATGCACGAAGCGCGCTGGCACCTTGACGATCCTCGACTTGTCGACCTTCGCCGCCTCATCGGGCAGGACCACCCTGACGGCCTCGTGCTCCAGGTGCTGGTTCCAGTTCTTGGCGATGCTCTTGTTGAACCCAAGCCACTCCGCCTTCGTGAACTTCCTCGAGTCCAGCTCCTTCCCCTTGGTGCCTGCCTGAAAGGGACGGAACTCCAGCGAGAACACGTCGTTCATCGCGTACAGCGTCTCCGTGTCCAGGTCCGGGACTGGGGCCTCGACGGTTTGGTTGAACACCGCCTCCACCACTGGTGCCTAGGCACAACTTCTTCTATCTGCGATAGTGGTGTAGGTGGTGGCGTAGGCGCTCCAACACTCCCTGCTGGTGATGGCTGAGCTTCGGGCTCAGGTGTCTGTCGTGGTTCTTCCACTCGTTCGGAGACAACTCCCGGCACTGGCACTTCAACAAGATTCGGAGGTATCGTCGTACTCTCCATCGAGCTCGGTCTCAAGTCCTCGAACGTATGCTGACCCCTCGAGATCCCGCTCAGGTCCATGTTGTAGTTCTCAAGGATGCTGCCGATGGCCTCGCTCGCTAAGCGCTCCTCCGGGGTTGCCGACCTGATGTGTTGTGGTGCCACCAGGAGGAGGTTCCCGTTGAACACCAGCCAATACGCTTCATTCTGGCCTTCGCGTCCCCACTCCCTGCCGAGGATGACTGCTGGACCGTGCCAACGGTCTGCTCGTCTTGTAGATCGCGCCTGCGGCTTGAAGGTACCTGCCGCTCGCCAGAAGAACACGCACTCTCCGGGCATCCACGGCGAAGGTGTGGGTCGATAGTTGTGGACGATGGCCTTCCTCCACTTGTCACTGTTGTCCAGCTTCGCCAGCGCGACCTGAACCGCCTCGCGTATCTTCTGCGACCGCTGGACCTGGTAGTCCTTGAGCACCGCGTCGTGCACGGCGATCTCTGGGTACTGTTCGTCGCTGAGGAGGCTGTCCAGCACGCTGCCTGGTAACCTGTCTCCACAACCAAAAACTCTCATCCTGGGGCTGTATCCTGATGGATCCACTCTTCGGTTCTTGCAGATGTTTGCCGCCGCTATGGCTAACTCCATCTCGGCCGGGCCCTGGATGGTGCACTCGTCCACAATCGCGCGCACGATGTCGTTGCTGACGGCCCCGTGGCGCTCGACCAGCCCGTGTTGCCACGGACTTTCGGTGGGCACCACTCTCATCGTGATTCCCACCGACTCCGCGTAGGATGCAAAATCCTTCCTGAACTCCGAGCCGCTGTCGGAGTGACACACAATAGGTACTCCGGCCCAGGCGCACCACTTCGTCATGAACATCCTGGCTGCCTCTGCACTGGAAGGATTCTCCAGCATGATCAGGCACGAGAACTTCGTCGCGAAATCCACGCAATTCAGGGCCAGGTACTTGCCTCCACTCGCGTCCTTCAGCTCCTTGGTGTCCACCCCGACCGCGATCCCAAATGACGTGGGTCTCTGTCGGCTCGACACCACTCGACGTCGCTCTGGAGCTGCTCGTCTCGCGCACACCTCGCACTGCCATACCTTCGCGTAGTCCAGGTGCAGCTGGGAGGCCCCGCCTAACCTCATCACCCGTAGTAGCGCTTCACGGCCGCAATGACCCAGATTCCTGTGTGCTCGTCGTACTTCCGCGCGAACTTCAGGCGGAACATGGGCCACTTCTTGTTGGCCTCTCGTCGTAGTGAATATCTCGCCCGCTGGGAG